GAATCGATGTGTCCTCCCATCTCCCCTCAACCCCCAGGGTGCAGCGGAGATCCTCCACAGGGGCAGCGTGGACCTGGAGAGCCTCACAGCGGAGTACACACGCCAGCAGGGAGGGTGATTGTCCTTTTTGTTGCAAATGGTCCGGCCATCTCCCTCCCTTACCGCCAACTTCTCAACTCTCTCCCCTATCAGGGAGCAGCGGAGATCCTACACAGGGGCAGCGTGGACCTGGAGAGCCTCACAGCGGAGTACACACGCAAGTTCGCCAACCCGTACAGTGCGGCGCAGCTGGGGTATGTGGACGCCGTCATCATGCCGAGGGACACACGCAAGGTGCTCTGCAAGGAGATGGCACGACTTAGAAACAAGGTAAGCGGTTGGGAGAGGTTGGGGTGGGTTTGGGGGGAGCAGGGGGAGTTAGGAGGTGGTTGGGAGCGGTTGAGAGGGTTTGGTGGTTGCGTGTTGGCCAACCCGTACAGTGCGGCGCAGCTGGGGTATGTGGACCCCGACACAATGCTGAGGGACACGAGGAAAGTGCTCTGCAAGGAGATGGCCCACCTCAGGAACAAGGTGAGCGGTGGAAAGGGGTTGACGAGTGGTGTTTGGGTATGTGAGCGCACCTCGGGTGTGTGGACACTGTTGCATGTCTGGTGCAGTGGCATGTTGGTGTGCGGTGGATGGGGGGAGTGCTGCTTGTAGAGATGGCCCCGAACCAAGATGAGGAGGGGGGGTGAGAAGACGAGAGCAAGATGAGGAAGAAGGAACAGGGCGACGGTAGTACTGGGAGAGAGGTGGTTGGGGCGTGGATGGTCAAGATGCGTCCCAGGCACACACCATGTATCTGTTGTTGGTTATTGATTCTGACCCGGATATTATCATGAAGGTTTCTGAACCTTCTGGTGGCACAGAGGTTGGATGGTCGAGATGTATGGACAGGCATAGTAGGTATGATACCATCCTGCATGTTTGACCAGCCAACCAGGTGATTGAACATCACCTCCCTTTTCAACTGCAACCAGGTTCATGCATGTTGAGTAGAAATGTTTACTTGGTACGCAAGTATACATTTGTTGCGTTGCCTTGTGGGACTGATTGTGTGGATGTGGGTGTGGTCTTGGGTGTGTGTGGCTGTGTGTTTGTGTGTGTCTGTGGGGGGAAATGGGGGGTGGATGTGGATGGGCGTGTGTGTGTGAGGGTGCGTGTGTGTGGGTGCCTGTGTTATATTGCCTGGCAGAAACTGGCCAATCCATGGAAGAAGCACGACAACATGCCACTGTAACAATCAACTCTCGCTGGACCTCACAGCACCGCACTGCACCGCACAGCCTAGCACAGCACAGCATCGCACATTTCACGAAAGCAGCTCGAACACCATACCGTATTTCCATTGTGTACATTCAAAACGGCTCGCTCACGTCGAAACTGCCCAGTCATTGGAGAAAACACGACGAACGCACCTGTGGTAGTCAGTTTGGCTGGATTCGTCAATCACCATCGTGGCTGGATCCCTCCCTATGTAAGGATGTATCTTACAGTACAAACAGGCTAAAAATGTGTGTTCTGTGGTTCATTTACCGGTATTTAGTTTGTACATTGTAGGGTGTATCTTTTTGTGGTCCAATATGGTACAGTACCTACCGTACCACAACTGGCCCTGCCCAGTATTCAGGAGATTTTGCCCATTGGTATAGTATGTGACACTTAAATACAATCAGCAGGCACGTTTCGACAGTCAATCAATCCAACCTCTCTCAAGCACTCTGGTCAGACCATGAAGCGATGCTCTAGCATGCAAGTACAATACCATGGTAAAACAGGGGCTGCGTGGGAGCCTTCAGTTCAGTGGAGCATGAGGCGCATTCTGGCGGACCTAACAGACGGGAGGTAGTCAATCCACCACCACTCTGTCACCCTACCCACGTCACTCAGCAACGGCTCTTTCAGCTTGGGCAACCAACGGAGTGACCCGGGCAGACAGTTCAGCTCCGGCAAATAGCACAGCTCCAGCGTTTCGAGGTTTTTCAGCTGCCCGAGTGACTCGGGCAGCACAGATAACTTTTTCAAGCCTTCGAGCTTCAAGAAGCTGAGGTTTTTCAGCCGACCAAGGGATTCTGGTAGGTTGGAGAGGTTGTGCATGCGGGTGAGGGTGAGGGAAGAGAGGGCAGAGAGCGCAGAGAAGGAATCAGGGAGAGAGGAGAATTGTGAACAATTACGCAGGGATAGGCTGGTGAGAGACGCCAGGCCCCAGGGTTGCTGTGCGTTGCGCTGCTCCTTGCTGTGCTGTGGCTGTGGCTGTGGCTGTGGCTGTGGCTGTGGCTGTGGCTGTGGCTGTGGCTGCGGCTGTGGCTGTGGCTGTGGCTGTGGCTGTGGCTGTGGCTGTGGCTGTGGCTGTGGCTGTGGCTGTGGCTGTGGCTGTGGCTGCGGCTGTGGCTGTGGCTGTGGCTGTGGCTGTGGCTGTGGCTGTGGCTGTGGCTGTGGCTGTGGCTGTGGCTGTGGCTGTGGCTGTGGCTGTGGCTGTGGCTGTGGCTCGGTGGACTTATCGGTATGAGTGCAAGCAGTGGTGGGGCCAGCAGCAGCGGCTGTAGGAGCGACAGTGGCAGAAGCAGGAGCAGGGTCAAGAGGAGAGCGAGGCGCAAGGTCAGGAGGAGGGGCAGGGGCAGGATGAACGGAGAGAGCAGAAGCAAGGGAGCAGCAGGTCACGCCTAATGCGGGATTCAGAGCAAACAGAGGGTCTAGGGACTCGAGGCGAGGGCAGCCGGTGATTTGGAGCTCTTCCAGGCGCGTCAGCATGGGCAGCTGTGGGGGCAGCCGCCTCAATTCACTGCAGCCGTGCAGGTAAAGCTTCTCCAGGCTGTGCCTCACACTCCCCGTGCACAGGCTTTCGGGCAGCTGCAGCAGACGCACACTCTCGATTTGCAACGACCTCAATCCCTGTAAGCTGCCCACGCTCTCGGGCAGAGCACAGAGGTTGCGCAGATTGACCAGCACTAGGGTTTCAAGGTGTACCAGGGATCCGAGATTATGAGGAAGAGAGGTGAGTGCAGGGCATGCGTGGATGGAGAGGGAGGAGAGGGGGAGGGAGCAGATGGTGTCCGGCAGGGTCTGGAGGGGCACCGAGCCAAGGAAAAGCTTCTCCAATCGCGTCATCGCCCCCATCACATGCTCGGGCAGGCACATCAAATGCTGGGACTGCAGCGACAAGGAACGTAGGCTGGTGAGATGCTGAAATGAATCCGGGATTAACTGCACCCCCGTCACAATTTCTAGGGTTTGCAAATGTGGTAAGTAACCAATCGAGCTGGGGAGGTTCGCGAGGCTGCTGGTGGAATCCGGGAGACCTTCTAACGGCGACCCTGTATTTAAGCGGACTTCCCGTAGCTGCTGAAGCGCGCCGATGCTTTCGGTTGGCAAAAGCAGATGCTCGAAGTGATCGTCGCCAGTGCGGCGGCAGAGATGGAGGGTTGTGAGGTCGGAGAGGAGAGAGACGGCGGGCGGGAGGTGCGTGAGGTAGTTGAGGGTGAGCAGGCGGAGGTCGCGGAGCTTGCGACAGCCATGAAAGAGAGACGAGAGGCCGTTGCAAGTGATGTGCAGGAGAGCCTGGTAGTGTACGGTCAAATGTGTCAAATGCGGACACGTGGCGCCCACGCATTGGAAGAGAGCATCGCCGCTCGGATTTGAAACGTGACAGTACCGAAGCTCGAGATGCGTGAGGGAGGAGAAGCTGCGAATCGTGTCTAGGAGAACGGAGAATCGGATCCTGGATTTGATTCGGAGGTGCGTGAGTGAGACGCGCGCTACGGCGTACCATTGCTTGGAGACAAGCGCGTAATGGAAGGAGTCGCGCGTAAGCGTGCGCAGCACGAGCGAGAGAAGGTAATCGTCAAATAGGACCTCCGCGATCGGTGAGGGAGGAAAGGAAGCAGTCCAGAAGGTGGGGAAGAGGGGAGACGGCACGGTACGGTTCATAGTGTTAGAAGTGGTTCGCCGCTGCCCCGAATTTACAGCATGAAAACGACAAGAATAATATTATGGGAGATTAAGTGGGAATAGGCTATAATTTTTCTTAGGACGGTGGGCGGAGCTACGACGATGGTAAACGAGCTCTGTCGGGAGATGGTAGAGATGGAGCTCCGTCAAATCTCCATCTCCCAACCAACGGGAAAAAGACGAGGGTGAAAGAAGAGAAGGTTTAACCCTGCAGGGTAGTGTTCGGCGGAATTCAAGAAAGTCAGTCTCGTCATCGGTTTTGGTTTGAATTTCGTTTTCGGTGTCAGTTACGAAATTCGGTTTCACGACGAGGCGCGTTACGCGAGGCGCTTTTATAATTTGGATTTCGATTTGCTTGAGTTTCACATTGGTTGCCTCCCGCGAGCAATTGGCAAGAGCACATGCCCGAACGTTCTATGGATGGCGTTTCAGCACTAACTACGGTATGTGTTATGCATCATACTTGGCATCCTTACTTGCAACTTCTGAACTGCTCTTCTTGGCCATGTTATTATAACAACAAAACACTGTAGCTGAATAAAATATACCGTACGTATGTATGGGCCGGCAAAACCGTGGCCTCGCTGTCACTCCTTGCAATCACATCCCATTGCAAGCAGGTACATGCCATGGCACACGGCCAGCAGCAGCAGCAGCAGCAGCAGCGTGTCAGCTTTCCCGTGTCACGTAATCAAGTGCTAGCTTGGCCCGGCACTGCAGGGAGCATCAGACAGGAAGGACAGCAAAGCAGAGCACAGGCATGTTTGTGCCACCACACACACACAGACCCACACTTGCTCACACGCACACACGCACACGCACATGTGTGTCCATGCATGAGGAAGCAAAGTGTGTTCCGCTCAGCCCACTCACTCAACTCAACCACCACACATAGGATCACAACAACCCAAGTGCGCAAAAGCCTCAAAACGACCACACACAAAAGCCTATCCACAGCAACAGAAAAGCAGAGGGCGAGTGAGAACCTATCCGCAGCATGTCTTACAGCGATGTCAAAGCTCCCTTGTGCTGCCAGCCAGCCTCTCCAGCTGTGCCCCCACACCCTTTACCGCCCTCACAGCAGAGGGCGAGAGCAGCGAGACCTATTCACAGCAACACACGAGCAGAGAGCGATTGCATGTGTGCACGTGTGCACATGTGCATGTGTGCATGTCTTACAGCGATGTCGAAGCTCCCTTGCGCTGCCAGCCTCTCTAGCTGCGCCACCACGCCTTCTGCTGCCCTCACCGCAGCAGCTCGCCTGTCAGCCCCCGGGCAGGCGGGGCGGCAGAGGTTGGTGAGGCACCAGAGAGAGGCCAGGCGCAGGGATGTGCAGCCTTGCAGGCGTAGCAGGTGCAGGATGAGAGGGGGAGGAGGGGGCGAGAGGCGTGCAGAGGGTAGGGAGGGGGTAGCGTTGGGCTGGGAAGGGCTGGATGGCGGGTGGTGGTGGAGGGAATGCAGCGGAAGGGTGGCTGCCAGCGCTTCTGCTTTTCCCTCTCGTCCGGCAGCAGCAGCAGAAGCAATTGCACTTGAGCCTGCCGCACTGCATGCGACCGCCTTTGCTCCACCTGCTTCCCCATTCCCTGGGCCTGGTGTATCACACGTGGCTGCTTCACCCCCTCTGCCTGCCTGCCAGCACGCTTCAAGCTCCCTGACCTTGGCAGCGGGCAGCAGCAGCAGCGCCAGCACGCTGTCCTTGGCCTGTGCGCCCCCTGCTGCCACGTTGCTCAGAGTCAGCATGGCCTGGTGGGATGCGGGTAGGGCAGCAGGGAACAGGTTGGGGGGATATTCTGAGTCGACTCAAATACACCCGCTGCCACGTTGCTGAGAGCCAACATGGCCTGAGAAATGGGGAGCAGCACAAGGGACCATAATTTCACGGAGCAGAAAGTACGAGAGATAGAAAGAGATGGAATGAAAAACAGCACGGGCACGCACCTCCACTCGCACGGCATACTGCGCTCGCCGCACCGCTGCCAACTCTGCCTCCGCATCCCCCGCACCCTCCTCCTCTGCACCCCCTCTCACTCCTCCTCTTCCCGCGTCTCCCCCTGCGGCCGGTCTGAGAAGCACGGGGCGGGCGGGCAGCAGTTTGGCGGCGAGGAGGCGCAGGAGGGCGTCGTGGAGGGCAGCGGGGAGCAGCAGCAGGTGGGCGTCCTCCTCCGCGCCGTGTGCCACGTTGCGCAGCAGCGCTGCTGCCTGCACCTGCACTCCTGGCGAGGGGTCTGACGGGAGAAGGTGGGAAGGGATGCAGAGCAGTGGAGCTAGGGCAACGATGGGGAGACGACAGGTGGCAGCGAGGTTGGCCTTGGCAGCAAGCAAGAGAGAGATGGGTGGCGGGTGACGGCAGCAGAGAATGAGAGAATGAGACACGAAGCAGGCACACACCTAGCAGCAGGGCGGGCAGGGTAGCGGGCAGCATGAGAGCGAGAAGCTGTTGCTTCACGGCGGTGGTGGCGGAGTGAGCCACGTTGCGCAGCACCATCACACTGCGCTCCACCACCTGCACTGCTACCCGCCCTCTCCCCCCCTCCTCCCCCCCCACACTCCCCCCCACACACCCCACCACACTTCCCTCCAATCTCCCCTTTGCACTCCTTTCCACACCCCCTTCCACGCCTCCCTCGCGCACACACCCATCTCGCCCCCCCGCGCCCGCGGCTGCGAGGTGGGCCATGCGGGAGAGCAGCCCGGCGTGCACGAGGGCACCCGTGTCGCCACGGAAGTCCAGCAGCAGATTGGCCAGCGCTGACACCGCTGGTAACTGGGGGAGGCGAGGTCACGTGAGGGGAAAGAGGAGGAACGTCTTAGAGTTTGACTTAACAGCAGTTCAGCTGATAATGACACACCACTGGTAGATGCGGCATTGTACGATTATTGTGAGAGAAGAGAGGAGAGACGAGAGTTCCTTAACGTGTGGTGTTGGTTGGCCAACGCTGCCAGTGCTGCTGGCTGAGGGAAAAGTGAGGCTGAGAGAGGCTTGGGGGAAACAGGATGTGCGAAACAAGGTGGACATGGGAGTGGACGGGGAAGCAAAGGGAGTGGGAGGCAGGGCAGAAGCGTTGGGAGGGCGCACCTGGGCAGAGGCATCGGGGGAGCAGGCGAGGTTTAGAACGTCGAGGATGATGGGCGCTGTGGACAGGCCCGTGCGGAGATTCTGAGCAGAGCGGCGTCCCCGCGTGGAGGGGGGGGAAGGAGGGGGAGGGCAGGCAGTGGAGAGGAATGCAGACAGATGAAGAGAAAATGGATTCACGAGCGTGAGAGAGGCAGCAAAGCTCTAGAAGGTACTCATACTGAGAGGAATGCTCTAGAAGGTACTCATTCTGAGAGGAGTGCTCTAGGAATCCTGTTTGAACTGACAGTCTGCATTGCAAGCTACTCAACTCATGGATTCTGCTTGCGCTCCATAATCACTGAGTAAGGAAGGAGAAGAGCAAGGAGAGCGGCACCTTGATGGAGCGCGAGAGTGAGTGCAGGCAGGAGCACGCAGCGGCGCGCAGGGGCATGGGCTGGGAGGCGTCGAGGCAGCGCAGCAGCGGCTGAAGCACCTGTGGGCATGGAGGGCGGGGGTTGGCAGTTAAGACCCGGGGGTTGAGGGGAGCAGGGAGAGAGGGAGGGAGGCTGTAACACCATGCGCAACATGAGTGCAGGGCCGGGAGCGCACAGTGCAGGGCTTGTTCTCACCTGCCCCTGGCATCACCTACCCCAGCCATCCCCTGCAGCAGGCATCACCTGCACCTGGCATCACCTTGAGGTCGAGTGCCTGGCGGCGGATGGGCTCCCACGAAGAGCACAGCACCGCTAGCGCCGCCAATGCACTCTCCCTCTGCACCGCACTGCGTTCCACCACCACCGCACTGCCTTCCCCCTCACTCCTCCCCTTCTCGCCTCCCCGCAGACCCCCTCCCCCGCCCTCACTTCTCCAGCCCAACCCCTCTCCACTCCCCCTCCGCGCCTCTCTCCCCTCTCTCTCCTCTCGCCCCTCGCGCCCCCCTCGCCCCCTCGTTCCGTCGCCCCAAGCCATCCACCTGCGCGATGGGAACTCGGCACTCTCCCTACGCCCCACTCCACTCAGCCATCCACGCGTCGCCCTAGGCTCGGTGAATACCAAGCCGTTGGAGGTAGGCTCGGCCAAGCCTACGGAACCAAAAGTTACAACGGGTGGGGAGCGGGAGAAGAGTGGCCTGGTGGCAGCGGCAGCAGTGGGGGGCGAGGAGGAGGAGGGAATGAGTGGCGAGGGGAAGGATGGAAAGGTGGGGATGGGAGGAGGGGAGGAAGAGGGGATGGGAAAGGCAGAGGAGGAGGGGATGGGAAGCGAGGAAGAGGAGGTGATGGGGGGCGAAGAAGAAGCGGAGGGGGCGGGGCGGAGCAGAGACACTAGCTCGGAGGCCGCGTGGGCATTGAAGGCCGCCCACTGCACGTCCTCCCTGCCGCCCAGCAGCTGCTGCAGTAGCCTCGGCGCCTGCTCGCCCACCTGATGGGGAGGATGGAGGGCGGAGCAGAGAGACAAGGGAAAGGGCTTGCAGGAGAAGGTGGGAGAGGTTGCAGAAACCAAACGAGCCCAATGGGCTGATGAACGACAGCTAGAGAGAGCACTAGCGCTCGCTAGATCATGTCCACCTGCACATGTCTTCCAAATGGCAATTGCTTTCCAAAATGTTCGGTGCATGAAAGGAACGGCAGGCATGGTGCATGGACTTGCGGCGACACGGGAAGGACGCATGAAAAGGGAAGGAGGCAGCGTGAGCAGAGTGCGGTGGTGCAGAGCAGAGGAGCAAAGAAGGGCTGACCTGGTCGGAGAGAGGCAGCAGGTTGATGAGCGCCACGAGCACCACCGCCGCCACGTTCACATCCACTGCTGCCGCCGCCCCCACGCCCACTCCCATGCCCACACCCACCCCCACGCGCATCGGCCTCTCGCCACTGGCAGCCGTAGCAGGTGTGAGCGCGGTGGCAGGCACGTGGGGGCCAGTGCGAGAGGGGTGCAGCAGGTGGGCGGGCAAGAGCACCCCACACACTACGTGCGCCTGCTGCTGTGCCTGCCAGGATTCACTCTCCCGCCCACATGCCGCCTGCTCGTGTCTTTGGTGGTGGTGCTGCTGCTGCCACGCGACCCGATCGCCCTCCTTCAATCCCCCCGATGCATCCCGCTTCACTCCGATGCCCCGTCCACCTGCCCTCCCATTCCCACCACCGGCGATGCAGCCCCTGCTGCTGCTGCTGCTGCTGGTGCGTGCAGCCTTCTCACTCGCAGACGCAGCTGCATCTGCTGTGGAAGGGGGTGGGCCGCCAGTAGCAGTGGCAGGCGCAGCAGCGGTGGTGGCAGGTGGAACAGCGGAGGTGGCAGGAGCAGGAAGGGCAGCGAGGGCGGGAGCGGGGTGTTGGAGGAAGGAGCGGGGCACGGCAGTGATGGCACCGCCATGAGGCCAGAGAGCTGCCTCGACGTGCAGCAGGCAGCGGCAGGCGTTGAGGCGTGTGGCAGGCGATGGATGACGCGTCAGACTCACCACCGCCGCCAGTGCTGCTCCCCCGCCCATGTCTGCAGCACGTGCGGAGAGGAGGGTGGGTATCGGCAAGTTGCGGGAGGGAGGGGGGAAGGAAAGGGTGGGGAAGGGGGAAAAGGGGCGGAGGGGATGGGAGTTGAGGAAGAAGCAGTGAAAGGGAACGGTGTGTGCGAACACAGGTATGCAGCCGCAGGGGAGTGGCGCCATGCACACACGCACGCACCTACAAGAGCAGCGGCCTGCTGCCGGTTGCCCTTAACAGCCGCTGCCAGGGCGAGCAGAGCAGCATCGGTGCAGCGCGGTGACGAGGCGAGCAGGCGTGTGAGCGACAGCAGCCCATCCCCCGCTGCCAGCGCTGCCTGCTGCTGAGGCGAGTGCACACATTGTGCTGCCACACTCGCTGCTACCTGGTGCACGGGGGGGACGAGGGGACTGTTGGATGGAGACAGCATCCCTGAGCAGTGCAATAGGGAAGCGAGGGGCATGCAGGCATGCGCATGGCATGGCATGGCATGGCATGGCATGGCATGGCATGGCATGCAGGCATGCGCATGGCATGGCATGGCATGGCATGACCTGCGAGGTGAGTGCGAGTTTCACAACGCGAGTTTACATTTTGCCTTTCCGTGCTCAATGTTTGGTTGGCACAGTAAAACGCGCAACACAATCACCTCTGCCACTGTCTCATTGGGGGAGGCGAGCCGGGACGGCAGCAGGCTGAGAGCGGGGGAGAGCCAATCGCCTGCAGCAGTGCTGCCACGTGGCAGCGCAGGAGTGGACTGGAAGATCAGACGCAGTGACCGTGCAGCTGCCTCCACCACCTGTGTGTTGCGAATATGTGCAGAGAGGTGCAAAGAGGTGCAAAGTGGGGCAGATTGGGGGAGATTTCTAAGTTGAATCAAAGATGAGACGCAGTGACAGTGCAGCTGCCTCCACCACCTGCCAGCCGCAGGGGCAAGGAGGGAAAGGGAGCTGGAGAGCATAGCAGTAGCAGCAAGGCCATTGCAAGGACGGAGTGCAGGGAGGTGACGACGGAGAAAGCGCTGAGAGTTTGATTGAGGCAGAAATCGAAGCCTTAAAGCAGGCCAAAATGACCAGGAGGAGCAACACACATGTGTTTCAACGGGCCTGGGGGAATAAGGCACAGAGGCGAAGTGAAAGAGTGAAGGCGCCAGCAGATGGAAACAGTGTTTTGCATGTGGTGTGCTGCCCATGTCGTGTCCGTCCCTGGCATGTCCCTGGCATGTCCGTGGCATGGCATGGCAGCATGCAGGCATCACCTTGGCATGGGGGTGGAGCAAGCAGCGCAGCAGTGGCAGCACGGCCCCCGCTGCCAGCACAGCATGCACGCCCTCCGGCAGCCCGCACGCCAAACTGCCCACCGCCGCCGCCGCCTGCTGCACCTCCTCCGCACCCCATGCCCCCTCCGTTCCCCCTTCCCCCTCCGCCCCCTCAGCTCCCTCTAGCATCGCCACCAGCCTGAAGGGCACCACGCACGGCAGCCAGACAGGCAGACAGGCAGGAAGGTAGGACGGCAGGCAAGCAAGCAGGCAGGCAAGCAGTCAGGAAGGGCAAGGCCACAATAGGAAAGCGGGGTCAAGGAGAAACGGACGAAAGGCATGGTGGCCCACAAGGACGGGAACCACTTCCCAGAGACCCACACCACTGCCAAGAAACCCAAACCACTCCTCACCGCAGTGACTCCAGCCACTCCCCACCACACTTGCTCAAACCCCTCCCCACCGCACTGACTCAAACCATTCCACACCGCACTGACTCAAACCATTCCCCACCGCACTGACTCAAACCACTCCCCACCGCACTGACTCAAACCATTCCCCACCGCACTGACTCAAACCATTCCCCACCGCACTGACTCATACCACACCCGCCAAACCCGTGCCCGTCACAGAATCGGATGGAGTGGGAAAGGAGATGCGGAAGCAGCAGGGCGCGGAAACAGTAGGGCGCGGGGTGGGGCGGTCGTACGGAGAAAGGGCCGCGTGCAGCGCGCAGCCGTGGTTTCGGGAGAGGGAGTAGTGGGGAAGGAGGCGCGGGAATGAGGGCGGCACGGCGCGCGGAGGAGGGGGGTGCGCGGAGGAAAGTTGCGCGAGGAGGGGGGCGTGCGGGGAAGAGAGGCGCACCTGGGCACGGCTCGCAGGCGGATGAAAGCGAGCTTGCGCGTGCGGCTGCCGATGGCGGCGTTCTTCACGTCGCGTACTGCGCGCAGCCGCACCTGCGCGTCGCCCGCCGCCAGCCCCGCCACCAGCTCCTCCGCCCGCCCCGCCCGCCGCCATGCCTCGCCAGGACGGCTCGTCGCTGCCGCTGGCATGTCGGCGCGACGCGGAATAATGATTTTCTTTTTTTTTTAGGTTCAGAGGCCCGGAATAATGAGTTTCAAGAGCTGCTGTACGTGCGGCAGCTGAAAGTACGCCCTCCGTCTGCCGCTGTACTTGCGTGTGTATGCATGGCTGTTATTGGGCAGAGTTGCTTCACTGAAATGTCAACACAGCAAGTGGATTTTTCGTATCGGGGAGGTGACTACGAGCAAGATCCGAGTTGCTATACAAGATGACGTGCTGTTACGGTATCACTTGTATGAATCAGTGGTAGAATAAACAAGGTGGTATATACATACATACATACATACACATATGTATATACATACATGTACAGAAATATATATATATATATATATGCATATTTACACACAAATATATAGCATAGGTTTAGGGCTCGGGCATAAGAATTTAATAACACAGGGAAATGCATTTGGGAATGATATGCCATAAATACGAGAAATGTATTTCGTATTTAGAGTTTATTTGTTTAGAATTGCATACATTTCCTAGATTTATGTTATGATATGAAACTTTATGAGAAGGCATTCCTGTATGCTGCAGGAGCCGACTCTACCGAGTACGAAGTCGAGGAGTCAGAAGAGTCGAAGCGACGCAGCAACTGTCAGACCAAGACCGATGCAGGCAGAAACATTTGAAGTGAAAAGAGCGGGAACAGGTTTGAAACAGGTTCCCGCGCAGCACGGTTTTAATTCGGTTAGAATAAGGGAATGTACCCAGGGGTTTTTTATCAGAGTAAATTACTATGTTTCTCTGAAAATCAGAGTGGTTTTTAGGGGGTCACTCTGACGTGTCTGGGTAATTTTTTTGGAGGATAAGTTTTCTCTGATTTGTCAGGGTTCTGATTTTAGCTTCTCTGAGAGACCAGTGTATATTTGTGGCGGATGTACTTTTCTCTGTACAGAGTATAGGCATTTCGACCGACCCCCCCCCCCGCCCCCCCCCCCCCCCCCCAATTGTTGGAAGATGGGCAGACTAAGTAGAGTTATAAAAGTCCGTAATCCAGCAAAATGGTGAGCGCGTAGCACAATGCTTAATTTTTTCGGTAGGAGTGCAGAAGGCCTGGGTTCAATACTTGAGAGGACACTCAGAGTTGGAAAAATAGGTACACTGGGTGCCCAGAGTATATTTTTCAGAAGTTAAGTTTTCTCTGACAAATCAGAGTAACGCTCATAATGAACCCTGAATTTCAGAGTTCTCTAGAAAACAGCTCTCGAAATCCGAGTAGTGAAAAACCAAAAAAAAACCCTGAATGTACCCCTTAGAGTACATGGCTAGCCTAGGTCTTTTCGTATTCCCCTGTACTCTTATATAAACCCGATGTATGCATGCTATTATCAACTCAGTCATTTACATTCACTCTGACCTGAGATTCAAACTTCCGCTGCAACACTACTCTGCGATCAACCCTGAGCGATCCTTCACTAAGTCCCACTTGGGATTGTAACATGGTATGAGAGCTACTCAGGGATTCTTCGCAACCACACTTCCATGAAATTCGCCGAACCAAGATCTGGCGAGCGGCACACGCTCCAAAACCAAGATGGCCGGAGGATCCGGAGGCCAAGCAAACCTGACGGCTGAAGGACCATCCAATCCGGCTACGACAAATGAGGCAACAACCACGATCGGCACTGCCGCCCTCGAGCAACTCTTCGCTCGACTTTCAACTATGGAGAAAGAACTCCAAGACCTGCGCAAAGGCGATGCGGGAACCTCTTCCCAACCAGTACAACCTGGACAACCGGCTGAGAAAATCCGTGATACCGCCGCGCACACCTTCTCCCTCGACACAGACAAATCAACAACAACTGCCCCCCGTCCAAGTGATGAAGCTATCAACTCTGCGCAAGCACGCTTTCTTAGCGTTTGACGGCAAGGACTTCTATACATGGAGTTTCGAGCTTGAGCTCCTCCTACAAACAGTGCAGATCTACCATTACTTCGACGGCTCCTACCCTAAACCGGTGGAAAACACCGAAGTCGCCAGGGCTCAGTACTACAGCGAGTCCCTCATGGCCTACAGTGTGCTGCTACGCAACATGACGCCTGCGGAACAACTCAACATTCGCTCCTACAAAGAGAGCGACGCTTCAGCCTTGGAAGCTTGGAAGCACCTCGTTGAAGTCTACCAGCCGAAGAACTCGGTCACCGCCAGCAGGCTTCTGCAGCAAGTTTTGGAGATAAAAATGGGGCACGGGGAGAAAGCGAATCCATATATTAACCGCTGTCGCAACATCCGTGACCAGATCACGAAGCATGGGAGTACAATCTCGGAAGAGATTTTCGTCAACATAGTCCTTCAAGGACTCGGGCCAGAGTGGAAGCCCTGTAAAGCGCTACTCCGACAGCAAGGAACCATCTCAGAAGCCGCGCTATGCGCCGCACTCCTGTCCGAACAGCAGGACATGGATTCGAGCAGAACAAGCTCCGCGCCGCGCCGAGAGCGCCTCGCCTTCTACGCAGACAACGGAGAAGAGCGACGACAACCAAGGCGCCATTACTGCAAAATATGCAAAGTCTTCGGACACTCAACGGATCGATGCAAATCCCGATCCAACTTCCGCCACCCAAATTCCACTCACCACAACAACTGGGTCGGCCTATAAGACACTCGTCACTCTCAGCCTCAGCATCAGACAGCCCGTCCTCCTGCACAGCATCAACACCAGCAAACTCAAGGACCTCAATCACGAGCTCCTAGGAACATCATCGCGAACATGGCGACGCGCCGACGCCGCACTACTGAGCCTGACGAAGAGAACGAAGTCCAAGGAAGACTTCTGGAACCAGAAGAGGGATGGAACAATCCCCTCACTGAAGACCACTATTACCTGTATGACGAGGACGAGCAGGATTGGAATCATCCAATCACACTGCGGGAGAGCCCGCCACACGACAACCAACACTACGTACCAGTGGGATGGAAGGAGGACGAAGATCCCTCCTTCCACAGGCGCTACAAGGCAACCCTGGTGATTCCGCGATTGGCGCTACTTCTGCGCAGGAACAACACCGACAATCACAACACCTGGTACCTGGACAGTTGCTGCGGACAGCACATGGTGGGATCAACACGATACGTCTCGAATCTGAGCCGCGCCCCCGCAACCTACGTCACCGTTGCCAACAACGAGCAACTGCGCGCCAATTCACAAGGCATCGTCGTTCTGCAAGCACGAGACAGCCACACACGCATCTCATTCAACGACGTGCTCTACGTCCCGAATCTCCGCTTCAACCTGCTCTCGGCTGGACAACTCCGCAACTGTGGAGTCATAATACACACGGACCTTGCCACACGCGACCTCATCTTGACCTACGCTCCCCCGGATGCACCTCCCGAATCGTTCAAGTATCTCGGACGAGCACGTTCAATCAACGGGATCTATATCCTGGACTTCGACGTACCTTCCTGCCAAGCGTCATCAGACGAGCTCGTGGACCTTGTTCCTCTCGAGTTCGCCTTCATGAACAAGGAATCATGGGAGCATCTGGACAGACGACCTTGGGTTCGCCGCAGTCCTCATCCGCGCGAGATAAATCTGCACGAACTTGACATCAACGGCCTCTGCACCACCTGTCACACACCCACGGAAAGCCGCACAGAACAAGTGGAACGAGAATATGCAGCAATTCAGGAGGCGGAGAGTGCCGAAGCAGAACCCACAGGCATGACACGCGAAGAACTCGCTGTGTCATCTCACCGCATCTTCGGTGAGCCGAACGAGACATTCTGACAACAGCGGGTGGAAAGACCGAGGCCCTATTCGGACACCTTCCGGTTCATCCTCGAAGCCAACGCGCGCACCCTCGACAAAGAAGAACGACCGCGCCTGTACACTCGCGAAGTCTACCGCCGCGAGATTGACCCGACTTGGAAAGATCCTGACGCACCAGAGGAGCTGAGCGTCAAAGAAGAACAGGATAAGGCCCAGGCGGAAAAGAAACAAAAAACTGTATGAGGAGCGCATCGCGGCAGGATGGGACGAAAAATCAGCACACGGAGGATGGGGCGACGAGGATGCCAACCCAGAAGAAGGCGCAACCTGGGGATCCGCCACTGGAGCATGGGGAGCCAACGCCAGCGGCGCGGTCACCACGGGAGGATGGGGTAACACCGGCGGATGGGGAGGAGACGAATACGCGGACGCTCCGCTCACCGAAGAAGAAGAAGAAGAAGAAGAAGAAGAAGAAGAAGAAGAAGAAGAAGAAGAAGAAGAAGAAGAAGAAGAAGAAGAAGAAGAAGAAGAAGAAGAAGAAGAAGAAGAAGAAGAAGAAGAAGAAGAAGAAGAAGAAGAAGAAGAAGAAGAAGAAGAAGAAGAAGAGATCGAACGCGAAATGAGAGCTGAGCGTGGCGAACGTTCACCACGAGTGGTGATTCCACTCGGCAGGCCCCCACGCACCCGCTCACCTCCGCAGTCCCCCCATCGATGGAGCAGTCCCTGGTCGGAGATTGAGGAGGGGAATGCACCGCCAACTCCTCCGCGGGACTCACTTGGTCCAATCTCCCCCCCAGATCCGTTTGCTCGCTTCATCGAAGGCACCACGACCCCGCTCACCATCATCCCCGACCGTGAATTCTTCGCGCTCTACCTCACAACGGCACCTGCAGAAGGGGAGACAACGGGGGAAGCAGAAGCAGAAGCAGAGAAGCCGGACAACGAAGCGGAACCAAGAGAAGAGGAAGAACCTCCACTCCAGATCCCGCAAATTACGGAAGCAGAAGTAGCGGAACAACACGCCCGCTACAAGCGCACCTCCGGCATTCGCGCCGAAGATGACCTCTGGCACCAGCGGATGGGCCACCCCTCGCGCCAGACTCTCGCCAACTGCCTCCGCGCTAAAGTTTTCCCGCCAGGAGCACTGCTGCGCCCCGACGGAACGGAACTACAGCACACCACCCCTCATCCAACCACTTGCACTGTCTGCCCCACAGCCGCACTCTCTCACACCGCCTATCCCTCCCTGG